TTTTTCGGCCGTCCATCTTCTCTTTCCTTAATTTCCATTCCTTTGGATCTCTCCTTCAGCTCCCATTCGCCTTGCTTCCCTCGTTACATCATGACTGACGTGGATGCTTCGAGACAGGTGGAATTTCGGCGCAGATGGGAAGGAGGAAGGGAGAGAGAGAGAGAGAGAGAGAGAGAGAGAGAGAGAGAGAGAGGGAGAGGGAGAGAGAGAGAGAGAGAGAGAGAGAGAGAGAGAGAGAGAGAGAGAGAGAGAGAGAGAGAGAGGGGGAGGGAGAGGGAGAGAGAGAGAGAGAGAGAGAGAGAGAGAGAGAGAGAGAGAGAGAGAGAGAGAGAGAGAGAGAGAGAGAGAGGGGCGGGGGGGGGGGGAGGGAGGGAGAAAGGGAGAGACGGAGACAGACAGATAGACAAGCAGACAGACAGACAGACAGACAGAAAGCCCAACAGCAGTACCTTAGCGACCTCGAAGGCACCATGATTAAGCAACGCCAAGCATAATGCCCATCGCGGCAGTTAATTAACGTCCAAGCAACATGACGACGCAGATATGCAGTCGCGCACATCAGTCTCCTGCGGCCACGGGAGGGAGAGGAAATTAATTAGTTTGTCGAGGTCGAGGCCGAGGGCGGCGAGGTCGAGCTGCGAGCCCTCGATGGCGGATATTAGCTAGGCTCACTGACCCGGTTTTGTGTCTTTTATCAGGCTCTTTCCAGCGCTCGTTCTATGTGTGTAAAACAGTCTTGTGTGTGTATATATATTTGTATATGTATATGTATATACATATATATATATATATATATATATATATATATATATATATATATATATATATATATATATATATATATATATATATGTATATATATATATATATATATATATATATATATATATATATATATATATATATATATATATATATATATATTCTATTTTTATGTGTGTGTAAATAGTTCGTATATAGTATGCATATGAAGACAAATATATGTGTAAAACGGAGGCAAGCATAAACAGACACACACATACACAAACGCAAGCGAAAACAAGCAAACAAACAAACAACAGGCCCCATAAATGCATTACAGCAATGTAATATATATATTTTTATATAGGAATTAAAAAGACATAAACCACGGCCTTTCCATGATTATTTCAAACCCTTTTTCCATAAGCCCTGTCACCCCCCCCACCCCACCCTCTAGCTCCCCCCCCCCCTCGATCCGATCCCCCCTACCACCGCCTTTCAAATAATCTTTAATGAAGGGCAAATCGGGCGTAACTTTTCCGCCCACGACGAGTCCAATAACCGCTGCAGTTGTGCGTCCGTTGCCACATCTGTTTTCCCGTGTTTTCATCTTTGCTTTATTTTCCCCCGCATTGTATTTTGAGTCGGTCCGTAAATAAGCTCCTTGTTACAGCTGCGATCAAAACGCTAATTATGATATGAACGTCGGCCAGGAACAGGTAGCAATTACGTAATGCGGATCTAGGCATTTTAAGACAATGATAACAGTAAAAAAAAAAAAAAAAAAAAAAAAAAAAAAAAAAAGAGAGAGAGAAGGAATTTTTTTTTAAAAAGGGGGAAGAAAAGGAAAAAGAGAAGAAGAAATATCTAATACAAGCAGGTTTTCCTTGTAATGTTCAAAATCAGGTTCTGACGAAGGAGGAAAAAACCTCCGACTTTCAAGGAGGTTGTGTCGTAGCATGAGACGGGGGGAGTGGGCGGGATCGTGGTAGGGGGGAGAGGGGGAAGGGGGAGGGATTGTGGTAGGGGGGGAGGGAAATGGGGGATAGGAGGAAAATGGAGGAAAAGGTTGCTGGTCACGTGAGGTTCAGGACAGACGGTCGAGTAATTATTTTTCTACTCGCTTGTATTTTCCTCTTTTAGATGATTAATTCAGTCTATATTCAAGTCTATTTTGCTCAATTATTCTTTTATTTTCTTCCTGCATCTCCCCTTCCGCCATGCACTTCTCCAATATCATTTTTATCAGTATCATCGCCCTTATCAATTTTTTTTTTTTTTATATTCTTCTCTCTGCGAAAGAGTAACTGGAAACCGTAAATAAATAAATAAAAATTGAATGACTAAGAGACCGAGTGAACGCCTAATGAATCGAGAGTCAAAAGCAAAAAATAAACACGACCGGAAAAGGAGAAACAGTGGTAAAAAAAAAATACAATAAAAAAAGAGAAGAGAAAGAAAGAAAAAAAAAGGCAGGGAAATCGGCTGCTTGGTCACCTGAAGCAATCAACAGAGTGAGCGAAAAGGAAGCCGACGTTCGCCACGAAAAGAAAAGAACTTGCACTCTTTCGCACAATGGGGCTTGAACGAAACATTTGCGCAAAGACGAATAAAAAAGAGAAGTTGAGGGCGATAAGCGTAGACGGCAAGAAATTCGAAGTAGCGCTTGGATGTCGCCTGTCATGTGACAGGAGGAAGTGGAATAAATTGTGAAGAGAAAGAAGGAGAGAGAGAGAGGGGGGGAGAGAGAGAGAGAGAG